GATATGAACTTATCTATTTTCTCCATGAATGGTATGGTCGCATATCCTGACAAAATTTTTCGTGTGTATTTCTTGATCTGCTTCAGTATCAATCGTCGTTATTGACTTAGAATCGGGGTTTTTCTCGTACTGTGAGCTGAAAGACAATCGCTAACCACACCATTGTGTATCTTGGACAACCGGCAGTGTCCTGTACTTAAATGCTTCTATGAACCTGGGTGGTCACACAGTTTGCAAGTGTCGCCTAAAACATATATTTCCAAAGGAATTACTACGTGAACATGGGAAGAACGGCACTGTTCCATAATTAGTATAACAATGAGTAACGCTCATAATCGTACATTACCTACCACAGTTAATTCAGTATTTCTGTAGGCTGCAGTCAAGTTAGGCAACAGGTACTACTCGTCTCTTCGACTTCTTGAAATTCCACGTAGTGTAGATGCCTATATATCACGGATGAGAAGATTATACGTACAATTATTCAAATGCATTGCGAGAAAACTTTCATGCCTGAGTCATGCAGCATATAAACTTCCTTTGAAAGAATGTGTAACCAGAAATAGCTAGAAGCATCTAGAATGTCTCAGGAATAAAGTATTATGTTGCTACCAATACTCAGTTGACTGCCTGCAAATTGAGTGGTTCCTCGAGCCTTTTATTGTTCGATAGAGAAGTAAATTCTTGGACCATCCAAAATTTTCTTCTTTTTTCAGGTTCTCAAGTCTATTGTCACAGCAAGTGCTTAGTAGTTGGAGAAATTATATTTGGCGCTATCCAGTCTAAGTGAGTGGTTTGATCCTAATGACATTTGAATGCTACGTAGTAGGTAGAATACTGTTCCGTGAAACGCCGGATGCGTCTTGCAATCGTTTTGGTTATCTTTGACCTGCCTATATGTGTACATAAATGATCGAGTACATCTTATGAAGTCACTGTTCAGTCATCAGAATTGATGTTGGTTTCCAATTATAATAAGACCAAGGTGCTCATCAGGGGCTGAGGGCCAGGAGAAAATATAAAATATCAATGGCAATTTTACGTGCTAGTAATACTGACAGCGTGGTGGAGTACCGAAGTTATTGAAGAGTAGGTCTATACATTTTTGGTGAGTGGTAGAAAGATTAAGGCATCTGTTCACTTGTGAATGAGAAGTTAATGTTCACTAGTTTTCATATGCTAGATCTTTAGATCAGCACTATACTGAATTCTATTGTAATCGGAATTGCACGACGAAAATTTGAATAACCACATCATTCCCAATGCAACGATTTGCCCGATTTCACAGGCAACAGTAAGCACAGAGATCGTAGAAATAGAACGTTTTCTAGACTGCCAATATCCTACTGGCTATACTTACTGGTATATTACTACATGGCAGTCATTCTTCAGAAACACATCTATCTGACTGTGGATATTATTGAGTACTTTCCCCGGATCTGCGGCTTTTAGTTTGAAATTGATCCAGCTCGTGAGAACTAAAAGTTTCTCTGGTGACTATACAGAGGTTTTCATTGGTTTGGAAATACCGGGAGTGTTGGATTAAAATATAGTTACTATGATAATAAAACTCGTGGCGACAATATGACAAATATTATATATTTAAATTACTCAGAGTTTCCAAAGAGTTAAGGTGCGATATCACTGACTGTTAACTTACTTAGGAAGCAATTTATCTTATACTCAATTATTTGTTTGAATTCTTCGAAAATCCCTTTTTAAGTGAAGGCTTATCTGACCGCGCGGTTAGAACTAGTTACGTGTTGTATACATTCAGGCGGTTTACGGTCCTCCTTCTTTAGTGAACACTTTAAAGAGTGAGTTTTAAGATGTTTTTTGTTTCAATATATGGTTTGCGAAGCGAAATATTTGCCTTCTGGTAGTATACTTTATTATTTACTGAGTTTGATATTAATTTTGTGTCATTTTTTCATGTGTCAGCCTTATAACATATTTTCATATCTAAATTTTTCGCGAACCACTTTCATGCAAACATCATTTGGATCTGTTTCGAAAATATGCTTATATATAAACTTCTTAGAGTTATCTATCAAATAAGTATCATGATACACTTGGGAGAAGTGTGTTATATGATTCTTAGTGAGATTTGTATGTGAAACTTTTTAAAATTTTTTAAATGAGAATTTTTTGATTTTCCCGAATTTGTTTTTATCAATATATGTAATGTGGCGCTTAGAAATAATAAATCTGTGCATTTTTTACTGTTATATTCCTAGTGAATATTCTCAAATTTAATTCACGCTTTACAGCTTCATACAGCCATTGTTACTATAGGCAGCTGTTCTTTTTCGACGGGATCATATGTATATCTTTCCCGTTTAAGTGGCAGCCTAACACAGGTTTCTCATCTGCAACTTTACGATTACTATCCATTAATTAATTCTGTGAGGAAAGAGAGCCAGTTTAATTTTATTTTGCGGTAATATTACTCCGAATTGGTGAAAAGCCTGCACATATCACAAAATGTAGTTACTTACTTAAAATTCATATAAACTAAGAAGGATTATCTTTTCGAACTGTTTGAAGCCTCATCATATATAACTGATTTGAAAGTGAATCTAAAATCTATACTGTTTTAGTCACGTATAAGCTATACAACTGCATTAAGCTGGAACTTGGGAATCAAACGAAAATTAAATTTATTTCTTGGACTGCCGTGCTTCATCACCTCGCTTATAAGTAAAATATGAGAGGACCAGTAGGACTGTGTTAATGTATTTTTCGATTGTTTCTTGCTGCTGCAAAAATAATTGTTAACTTATACGCTTATTTATTAACTTAAACGCTTATCTTTTCAATCATTTTCCCCACTCTTTTTATTGCAATATATTTATTAATATAAGATCATAAAATTGCTCGTGCAGCGTGGTGGATGCAACAAAACTTAGGAATAAGGATAGTGAAGCTGTACCAGCTAAAACTAAGGAACTTAGTGGAAACAGGTAGAAAATAGCATGTAGCTGTTCACTGTATCAAGGTGAACCAGTTGGAAATATGTAAGCATTACTTTGAGATGCGCGTAACTTGCACTATCCTCTGATGTTTGGTTATACTTAATTATACTAATAGTAAGTGGAATAGAACCTCAGGATGAATAGATTAAACCGTATTACTAGTGCCGAAATTGTCGGTCCACAGAGTAATTACTTTTGGAATCTAATGGTGTGAATTATGGTGTACTGTTGGGAAAACAAAATGTCATAAAATCATGTGTTATCAGCGTTACATCTTAACATGGGCAGATTACCTTGCAGTCTTTGACATCCTGGCAGTTGAATCCATCTCTTGTCGTTTCTTATAGTGGGAAAATATTCCTGCCTTTACCAGTAAAATTCGGCGTTATAACAAAATGCGAAATGAATTGAAATACATTTCGTGTTCCTCAATTTGTTACGAACCTGAATCTAAATGATATGGCCAGTCTGTCATATGTCTACTAATTTCAATCTCTCAGAACATTTTTCACAATCTTCATGCAATCATTCCATATCTTTTCTTGCTGACATGTGTGGATATTTGTTTATCTCTTTATTTTGAAATAGTAAATTCTGAATTGAAACGCCTTTATATGGTTTTAAGCGTTTAATGTATCAGTTTATTTGGTTGGCATGTAAGATGGCAATTTGTTAGACTGTAGATTAACTGTATTTACACCAGTGCAGTTCTTGGTCCGTCAAAATGTTGTCTGTTCCAGATTGAAGAAGATCCTTTAAACTACTCATTCGGACGTAAACAGTACATAGATACATATATATAATAGTTCGGATGCCTTATTGGTTTGTTTCAGAATTTTCATTCATTCACTGATTTCCTTCATGAAATAGTCTACCTTTGGCTCTTGAAAGTTTTAATTTTATGATGATACGGGGCTTAATCTTAGTGCTAAGTGAGTTTACTGTTTCGGGATTTACTTAAACAAAATTAGCCTTATTTTTCGTAGAAATACAAAAGTTAGAAGCTTGTCATCATATCTGAATTATTGAATTCGCCTCCTTTTACTTTTGTACCAGTTTCAATAAGTTGCTTGTGTCTCAAAACATTCTTAACCGAGCAAACTTGATTTTATGTACAAGTAGGAAAGTACTAAGTTTACTTAGTATGTACGGTACCGTTTATAGACGCTTGGTAAACGTTGAAACAGCATATAAAGCTCCCAAAAATTTCACATTGATATTAACTTAAGCATTTAGTACAATGTGTAGGACGAAACATTGTCATTTGACCGTATGGTATTTTAGTGGTACACACATTTTCTAGCATAACAGAACCCCTCCTCGTAATTATTTTAATGACATTTTCCTTTTAGTAATTGCCAAATTTCAGTTAATTAAGACTGAATTTTCCTGGAAATGTATTGAACTATTGAAATAAATAGTAGATATTTTCGTTGAAAACTGACAACAGACGATTTGTCATGGTGGTACATACATTTAGCTTAGACTGAATATTCTGACAAGTGAAACATCTTACTTCCCTTGCGAGCCTCCACGGTGTCCAGATCTTTATTATGGAAAGTCAGGCTTGAAAAGTAGAATTCCATAATGGATAAGATTTTATTTTGATAAATCACACAGTGTAGTACAGTTATATTAACTGATGACTTTTCGATATGATTATGAGCAATAGTTTGTGCTCGAAACGTCATCAGTTAATATAACTGTACTACACTGTGTGATTTATCAAAATAAAATCTTATCCATTATGGAATTATACTCTACCACAGTGCCCAAGTTTTATACTTATTGAAAAGTAGAATTCGTTCACATGTTTTTTCTAACCTTACGTCACAGGTGTTGCAAGTGCCGTTAATCATATCATGGCACATTTTTCTAACCAATTTGTAGAGTTGGGAAGTAAATGTTTTTACTTATGACGAAGGTATTTTTCGTGTATATTATGCTCATCATATCTTTAAATTATTGGGTACTCAAAAGATTTTTTTATCTCGTTCCAACGACTATATCCAGCAAACAAGTGAAATGACCCGCGGTCCCCTGTGCATTTTTGTGATATTCATTTCTGTTTTGTGGTTCCTGTTAAATTTTCTACATGTCAGTGGTTATTTGATTGGAGTTGGCATATATGACATTACTGGTCCGGTCGCTGAAATAAACATGGTATGTATGATACGAAGTCAAGCGTGCAGGAAGTTAATGTATTTCGTTAATGCTATGCTGTTTTTGGCTGTAATGTTTATCTGCATATTTTGTTTTAAAAATTATCAAATCTTTCTCCCAGTCATTTGTATCAGTGGTGTCTGTAGTCTATTCCGTAATAGTCCACAAAGTCCATTAACCAAAAGTTACTAGGTTAATACTTAAAAGCGAATTATCCACAGGGTATCCAGCACTAATCGACAACGCTATAAACAGGTGTACCATCATAGAAGTGCAGACTTGTAACATATTCTAACGTTGGTTGTCGTGTTTTAAGGTTGTAAATTATAACAGGTTGGTTTGCTGTGCGGTACGCTCACTGCAATTATAAAACAGGTTATATATATATATATATATATATATATAATGTTGCATCAGTTGCATCAGTATTCCAGTTTGCAATTTTAAAGGAAGTTTACTTTTGACTGTATCAGAGGCATGATTTGTATAACTCGGAGAAATTAAGTTGAAGTAAATAATGGAGGTATGGTTGGAGATCTTTATTTCCCATTTTTTTTTATTCAACACACCATTAGTCCTTTCAAATAACAAGCCCATGAAATTATTAGATGACTGAACAAATGTTTAGTTGTGGATATGAAGCAAGTCACGGATTCTCCGTTACGAATACATCTTCCTCCAACTGAGATAGTACATTTGTCAAGTAAATTAAGTTTTCCTCAGTTCTATTTCAATTTGTTTCTTTCACCTTTGGTAATACCAGTGTCAATTCCGTGAACACTATTGTTTCCTAGGAATTCATTTGAACATATAACTTATTCCATTATAGCAAACGTGTGAATTTAGTGTAACGTTGTTAGTATATGTGTACTTTGCGGTTTTTGCGCTACATTTTGGTGACGGTTTAATTTATAATTAAAGACTGCTCATACGGATTTAGCTAAATATATACCCAGTCTACAAGTTTATAATTCAGTTAATGTAAAACTGTTCAGAATCGTAGTAATTAGTACAACTTTTGTAGACATACAGGTCAAATAAAATCTTCGTTTTTATGAAAGCTGAGTCCCACATGACGTACAGATTTCATGATATAGTCCTTAGATACTTGAAAATCTGTATTCTGATCAAGTTTTGTTCGAATTTTATGTGAGTATACTGAGGTATGGTTGGGATGAGGTTAATTAATAAGTGTTGCCAATTCTGACACAGTTGTATTAAAAACCATAACTACAACATAGCAATTGTTTTGTACATCTCTGTATGTAACTGGGTGTGATGTGGTTAATACAGTTGGTATGCATCGGTTAGAAGCGAAATAGTGGAGAGAAAACGAGACGACTTTCCTAAAATCCCAGTTAAAAGTAATAGCCATCAGGCTTTTGAATTAGATTTATGGGGTGACAATCCTTAATCAGAGATTCAAGGTGATATTAGTAATATAGGGATAATAATACCAAATTTTCACCCAAAAATTAGAAATTCCATCATCCATTCTTATCTTTTAACGGGATTATGACTCATTCCATCATGTTCCACGTCGCATTCCATTTCAATGCGTGATGAGTTAGCTTTAATTGAGGAACCACTCTACTACCTTTTTTACCACCCCATCGTATACTTATTTGAGTGACTTCTGAAAAGATATGTGAAATGTGTTGCTTCAACAAGTTGTCATAAATGTTTAGTAATAATGTAAGTCTCTCTGCAAACTATCTACTTTTTATTCTGTTTGCCATTGGTCAGATGGGTTATGGCAGTATGAAACAAATCAATGATGGACTTCATCTAAGATTATTCAGTCGCGCATTTGTTATCAAAGATAATGTTAGTTCTCAACCTATCGTCATTACAATATTGGATGCTGGTATGGTATCACAAGCAGTAAAAACTGAGGTGGGTTATTTCCATTTTATTACATACATATGCAGTAGATTGAGTAAAATTATTTAATTCTATAAAAAATTCAAAATCAAAAAAATAATTTAACGTTTATATTTTGTTCAGAAACTACGGGTGGTTTCTATGTGGTTCAGTTTGTCATGTATAAGCTTTAGTGGGATTAGCACTAGTGGCGGTAGATGAAACATAAAATATACTGTCAACTGATAGTGCACTGTCTTTTCGCTCATTCAAAGCATTCAGCACTGCATCAGTTGGCCGACCTGAAGTTCGTTCTGGTTGACAAGACACGTGTGTAATCTCAAAAAAAACGATACTCTTCATGAAGTAAGTTTGCCGATGAACAATCAGTTTTAGGTCGTTCAAGGTATTTCAGCAAAAGCCTTAATTAAAATTATGAACAAAGTGACAAATAAAAGAGGACAGACGAACTTAGATTCTGGTTTTATATCATTTGTACGAAAATGCTCTATAAATTCATTATGCATCATCATTTCCTCTTCAGAGATCGAAATAAGTTTGTTAGACTTCTGTCATTAGGTTAAAATCCTAGTGGCTTATCTTCTTAAGTTTCTGCCACCTTAGGAAGTAGATTGAAATTTGTTCAATATCATTCATTTTCACTTTTAGTTGAGTTGATTTTACAAACCACAGGTGCTCGTAACAAAGTAGTTTCACATTCAACTGAGATTAATGTTGAGTACTGCTTGATTTTCGGTAGTTCACTGTTTGGTGAAAATTTGTGATGTTGGATACCATGAAAACAGTTGATTTCTTCATAAAAATCTCGTTGAGAAAGTAATGTACTAACTTCCATGTTTACAGTTAAAATGTAATTCACTCCATTTTTTGAAATGCGATTTTGCAGGTTATCCATCGGTTAAGTAATCATTATGGAGATAAACTTTTCACACATCAAAATGTCTTACTCAGTGCCACTCATACTCACTCTGGGCCTGCTGGTTACTTTCAGTATCTACTTTATTCAATCACATCTCTTGGATTTGTATCTGAAACATTTGGGCCATTAGTTGATGGAATTGTTAAGGTATGTTTTTCCTTCTTTTTTTCTGTAAAAGCAGAAAACCGTGGCTTACTCTTTCTTCGTTAGTGCACCATTTAAAAACGAAGTTCATTCAAAGCATATAAATTGTGTCTGTGAAGAATGTACGTCATAATATCAATGGGAATATATCACTTAACCATAATTTCATATGTCTCTCATATTTATATCGTTTTTTAGTGTCATTTCAAAAGCTTATTGCGAAGCCTTGTTCTCACCACTCATGTTTGTGCAATCTCAACACATAATTCGGTGTGTAATAGCCTTGGGCTAATGTCAATAATCCACTAAACTACTTACAAAAATCACTACACTACGTTTTACAGCAGGCAGACATCTAGACAAAATCTTGGTAACTGTCCCTGGGGTCTGTTGTCTCTCTACACACAAATGTTGCTAACTACTAAATAATGGAAATTCAACAAAATCATGTTAGTTATATGGAGTTTTCCTATTTGAATAAGATGCTGATAAAAGTTTAATTGAAATAGCTATTTCAGCACTTATTCTAGCTAATGTCTATTCATTATTTTTTGTTCGCAGTTATAGTTTAACTCAGTGACAATCAGTTGGTTGCTCAATACCTTTTTAGTAAGTTGTGTATCTTTTACCTGGAGGTTCGGTTGTATTCTTGATATCCGTTGGCAAAGCATGTCTACAGTAATAAGAAAACTCGATTCAAGTTTGCGAAACTTTGTTAAAGCTAGGTAATTTACTATTAACCTATTCAGACCATGTTTTAGTCTTTGTGGAACTTGTTGAAAGAAGCAAGTTAATCACCAGATAGAAATCCACGCAGATGTCTACTCGTTAACGTTCCTCAAAATTATTCCACCATGTTTGCAATGTAGTCACTAAGCTAAGTGACGTACCACCGCCATACATCATGGTTCAATGTAATTTGATATTAGCTGTTAGTTGTTTGTCAATCTCAAAATCTTCAGCACTTTGGAATCTGAAATCTCATTCATAAGAACACAAGATTGGTGATTAGTACCAGCAAGAACAGAAGCGAAGTCTAGGGTTCTCTACCACCTTACTTCTCTGAACATCTAATAACAAATTGTAGTATACTGTAGTTCACTATATTGTCTTGTAAGTTAGCCTGTTATCACACTGCATACCTCGACAAATAGATTCTGATCAAGACTTAGGACTAGACTGCTACACTGACCATTACACAGAATCCAATTCACATAAATTTTCTGTGCAATTACATACTTTCGAACACCATGTAACAGATTCGCATCAAAATTTTTCAACTCATATGCCTTAACCTGGGAGTTCAAAGTCCAATAATATATAACCTTGTGGTTAAACTTTCTATCACTCGTGCTTAGTGAGTTAAATGAATTACTGGTAATTTTCATCATAAAATGTGTCTTTTAAGGACACTGAATGAAAATAATAGCTGGAATCTGATTTGAAATAGTTTATATGTTTGTTACGATTGTATTCTCATCACCACATCTGATGTAAAAATGAGAATTATCCTTTTAGTTTATGAACTTGAATTGATCGGATTTTAAATTTATCATCATACTGGATTTTGTATTAGTGTATTAGCCACTTACTTGCATATTTTTATAGTGATAATAATTTTGTTTGTATAATTGGAGGAACCTCAAAAGAATTTTAAGGTCAGTCACAAAGTGAGATCGTTCTGGGAACCGTTGAAAACTAGGGATTAATGAATAGCTGTCTCGTCTTAACTTGGAATTCCTTAGCAGCACTCATGCATTACACCACCGGAGGTCAAGCCTAACACCTTCAGGTTACGAGGCCGTCCCCTTGACCATTCCGCCAGTGGGACGGTATCTAGTGACACATTAATTCTAAAATACTTACCTTGCAACCCAAAGGTGCTCGGTTTGACCCTCCATGGGGAAATAGGTGCGTAGTGCTGCAAAGTCCAAAACTAAGGCGGTAGAACTGTCCAATAGTCCCTGGTTCTCAGTGGTTTCCTAACCGAAGCCAGTTCGTCGTAGAACTTGAAACTGATTAAATCTCTGGAAACCAACACTTTAGAATTTATTGGAACTGAATTTCTTCCGACAGACATTTGCCTTAATTCAATATTTGGTTATCTCTAAGTAGGAAGAGAAGCCTCATCTATTCTGCGTACTTTAGAGTTCTGAAGATCTATCCTGAGAAAATAATCAAAAAGTAATACTTGATACAGGATATCCTAGGAGATGTATCAGTGAAAACACTAGAAAAAACAAATTACTCTTCCAGTTTGAATACGGATTGACATCAGTTAGAAAACCATTGGATGCCAGGGGGCACTGGATAGCTGGGACAGTTTGACACTCTTCGACAGTATGTACCGCCAGGGTTCGAACTCAGGACCTTCCGGTTACAAGGCAGCCACTGGGATCCTATCCAGTTACCCATGAATTCTAACTTTTACCAAATTGTTATTTTAATGTGACTACGAGGCAATGTCATCGGCGAGTACTTATCCCCATTCCCGACTGGGTGGACCCCACTTTTCACGACTTCTCACTAGAACTTCAGGTAGTTTCGTCCTGCAGCCAGTCATAGGCCAGCATAAGATTAATTTCCATTAATTTGTTTGTAAGAACCAATCCCAAACTAGGACGAAACAGCTGTCCAGTACTTCCTGGTTTTCAATGGACCTCTAACTCATATCATTCCGTGAGCAAACTTAAAACAAATCAAATCCGTACGGAAATAACTCTTCTCCAAATTATAATGATCAATGAAACAATAATTATGAACTTTTCGATTAATGTAGGTGTGGTTACTGAAGTGTTGAATAATAGTTTATCAAAGTGCATCAAAGAGAACTTTCTATGCCGCCAGCGTGCTTTTGATAATGTGAAGTACAGACCACTGCATCCCTTGATCTCTTTGTATGCGCTGTTTCACATGGTCCTTTGTAGCCGATTGTACTGAACTGTAGGCAAGTTTTTCATGAATGCATTGCTGGATATTATCTAGTTCAGTTGTCAGCGTCCTTCTATATATATATATATATATATATATATCAGATCCTTAGAATAACTGTTATTTTGATTTGCATACACCAGACCATACTGTCAGTGTTTTCAGTCTGCACTCCGTATAGACGTTTGAGAAAAGAAAGCAAAAGAAGGTCGAAAATTCTTCTATTCGAGTGTCACACATGAAGATGACATTAACAGATATTAGAGTGCACCATCTTTCAAGACTAATCGAGCACTGTAACACTTTTCTTGTTTTGTTTCAAAATGTCATTACTATACAAAGAAAATTTGCCTTCTGATCACTAATGACACAACATTTCGCTTCATTTACAAAATCTCCAACTATTTTCTAGTTTGTATGTCATTTAATCTTATAAAGCAATTGTGAGTGCATTGAGTCATTAACTATCGTTTTGGATAGTGAATTTTTAAATTCTGTCTAGTTAGGTTACTTTTAAACGTGTAACACAGATTGTTATTTCCGTTCGAATTTCTAGTCTAATGTTATCAGTCTCTATTATTGTTTTAAGAATAATAAATAATAAATAGATAAGTAACGTGAAAAAAACATGAACACAAGGAATATATGAAGTTAGCAATTCACTTTCAGATTTGGTATTAGTTGATTCCCAATGCTATTACTATAAAACTACAGGACTCGTTCATTTACGGTAGTCACTAGAAATTTCCCCACCGTCACATTATTATTATTATTAATATAAACAATTGGTTTTTGTTTTCATTTTGATTCTTTCTAGAGTATTATTCAAGCTTATTCTAGCATGCAAGAAGGACAAATTTTAAAAGCTGAAGGAGATTTGCATAATGCTAGTATCAATCGGAGTCCAGCGGCTTATTTAATGAATCCACCTGAGGAAAGAGCAAAGTTAGTACCACTATGCTATTGTGAGCATTTAATATTAAAATATTACTAATAATTACTAATGCAGCAAACCAAATCCACATAGCATATTTTCACTCTTCTTTCCATCCATATTTTAATCAAAAACCAATTTTAAATAGGTGAATTATGTAATTAGGTGATAATTGGATTCAAAATGAACACTTATATCACAGGAACTTTTAGACTTCAACATAAATGTTGTAAAGTACCACTGTATGATTAACCTACGTCTTTAAATTCACTTATGTGTCTTTCTATTGTTAGGTTTCTGTTAGAATAAGAATTTTGATGTCATTCATTAATTATAATGATATGAAACTTAGATCACTTTTGAGGACTATAAACCATAAATGAATAAAGACGCAACTATACTACTAATACCATTATTTTTTTGAAGAAACTCAAATTTTAGTTGCTAAAAGGTAACTTGTTGGAATAAAGAATGTGTGTATGTGGTTTCCTCGGATTTGTTTTTCCTGAACCTCACTTAGGCTTCACAGAACTGTGAAACCTAGAATTTTAGATAGTGTGTTAGTCAAGCTGATTTCATCCGTGTTGATCGCAGTAAGATTTATCTCCTTTTTTATAAACTAGGATACTCAACGGTCTACACCACTCCTATGAAATTCTCTCAGAATCCCATTCTCTAGCCAGTGCTTGAGTTAATCTGTCCAATATTTCATAAACACAATCGTTAAACATTCCTGGTCTTACTGTTTGTCGTTGAAAATATGAGATATGAAGATTGTAACGGTTTCTGATCGTGACTGTTTTCGTTCGATCTTTCTTGTCAGACGGCTGAATATAGAAAGTAATTATTCTGTTGGATATATAAAGTTAGCTGGAGATGTAGAGCCGGTTGATGAGATTGGGAAGTACCATCGATTAAGACGTCCAAGATATGTGTTGCACTTGCCCAGACACCGCCTTTTTTCAATGAGCAATGTCAGCCGAAGTAGGACTAGGCTAAAAAAGGGCTAAAGGTGATCAGACAGAAAAATGACTATATCGCATGAAGTCTTTTGATATGAGTTTGAGCTATATAGGGAGGTGTCGACTGTTTGGGCGCCGTACTTGGGATATTAATAAACATTGGAAACAGTTGGTGACGTAGTTCAAAATCTTTCACAAGGTGCAAATGGAGTCACTACTTGTAATCTCCTAGGTTCTGAAAATTTCCATTGCTTTTCATCTAATTGTTCTTTCTTTTATTCACTGTTGTCTAATGTAGTTTCATTACATTTCCTTCCTTTAACTTTACATGAATGCTTTTCCAAAGTGTAGCAATTTGAACCGATAAATTAGTGATTTCAGATGAACAATATTTAATATTTTATCTAAAAAAGAAATCTATAGAGAAATGATGGTTAGCCTAAACTTGAACCCATGAATGTCAACTGACTCACCACTTTAATTTACCGAAAAGTGGTAGACGTACTAAGGTTAAACTGTAATACGGATTAAAAAAAGGTATCGTCAATTGAAACAGAACAGAACAGCAGAGTTTATCTGGTTAAAAAAAGACATTTTCAAAACTTGATTTGTAAGAGTATGATTAATTTCAAGTTGCATTTCATCACTGACTAACATCAGTTCAATGGTTCTCCAAATGATATCGTTTCTTGATAAAGTCTAACTTAAAGTGAATATGTTTCTGTAATTTATGAGAAAAGTGTTAATCAGATATGTAGAATGTTATACCATGCAATAATAAACATCTTGTAACTAAGCTATCTTCTGACAGAAGTACGAAAAGGTTTTACTCCTAATTTTTTAAATTCGTAGTCTTTTTTAATGTTTGGCTGGTTAGTTTAACAAAAAAGCAACGTACATTGTTGTTTCCAATGTGAATTAAAGACTTCGGCAACCGATTTGCATATATATATATTATGAAGTCACATAAAGTTGACAGTTGTGTTGCAAATAGATTAATAGTGGGTTGACGTTTTGAATTCGGTAATGAATATTGTATCATTTAAATCTTAAAGGTGACGGGTGACCACTAGCAGGTATTATGCTGAAATCAAGGAGGGATTCTTGTCAAATAAATATTAATTTCTGCATTTAGAATTTTAAAACTAATAATAACCTGTATGCCTGTAGTCGTACTTGCTCGGGCTTTGAATCTCATCCCTCTTACGTCAGACAGATAGACTGCTTAGTATCATCAGTCACTACACAATAATTATAGGTCATACTCTTGTACATGAAAGATATATTCCGGGCAAATGACCTCAAAGAAAAAAGTTAAATGAATCAACTCTTGTGTAACTAACATCCCTGCTGATATCCAGTCTTTCCTCGTCATTTACTTCATTTTTTACTTATATCTGTTTTTAGATATAACGATAATGTGGACAGAAAAATGATATTGTTAAAATTTATTGGTAAAGATGGTAAACCGATAGGAATGATCAACTGGTTCGCAGTTCATCCAGTCAGTATGAACAATTCAAATTCACTGGTTAGCAGTGATAATAAAGGCTTAGCTTCAATTTTATTTGAGCAGAAAATGAATGGCGATCGAATGTTAGGCAAGGTTAGTTAGTTAGTTATTTAGCTATTTATTTACTCACAGATTTTATTGATGATATGTGTTACCGTAGTGTTATTAGATGTAACAAACAAAAATGTGATAGGATATTACTTATTTTAATTTTTTGCCCACTTACAGAATACGTTTCTTATTTTTTTCAACTTTTTAACTAATGAATCTAATAGTCGATTCAAAAAAAAAAGAATATCAGATACGTTAACATTGTTCTGTATATTTAAAAAAATAATTACAATTGCACATTTATATCATGATATGATCACTGGGAACAGTGGTTGGTTTTCATTAGAGGAACAGGTAATAATAAAATTGAGAAGCCTTTGTGCTTGTCCATCTACTACATCTCATTGAATCGTAATATCCACACTTTTGTTTTTCATTCCTTTCATCCAATCTTTGAAGTTTTAGTAAAGATGCTGTTGTTCTTTATATGGGGTGAAGTTGCTAGGCTTACACCCAGACTTACTAATGCCTAGTAGACCAAGTGAGATTTTGAAGTGTGTCAGCTAGGAATCGAACCCAGTCTTCCTGTGTGGTTGGTGAAAATTTCACTAGTGAACCAGTAACGTACTCACTCAATCTTGAAATCGCATATTTTGTAAATAACCAGTTCGATGCTGAAAGCACTAATATCAGAAATAATAATAAACGTGAGGCTTTGTCAATATAACATTTGGCGACATAGCTGCATCGCGGTTCCAGCAGGTGCGATTCAAATAGAAACATAGGAAATCAATCAAAGCTTAAATGCAAAGGTGAAAAGACACGGAAAGGATAAGCTTATATTGCAGAACAGTAGTCTGTTCCAAATCTCAGAATTGGAGCCGTTTGAATCCCTAAGTATTGTTTGATAATGTGAACCGAAAAGTCTGTATTCTTCAGCAGAACAGCTGAAAATCTTATGGATTCATGTTCTGTAACAATCTAAGTCTAATTGTCTTCAACCTAACCATACTTTATTTTTAAAACAATTTGTTCCCTTTGTGAATTTAGACAAAGCAATATGAAGACGTAATTTGTCTGAATCGTGTAATGTATTTGCTCAACACATTTCGAACAATCTGATCACATACGGACTTGTCATAGGAATATATATGCATTGAAGACACACTTGATGAGGAAGAAAGAAAGTTGACACAAACTGGTTGATAACAGTTATCCAGACAAGTTCATCAGGAGATAGAAAGTAGTCAGAACATCAAAACCCATTCTCCAACGTGTACACCAAGCTACTCTAAATGGGGGATTATAGCAGCCTGACAACTAGACAAAGATTGAACGCTACTGTTAAAAATACTTTTTATGCAGCTAATATTATAACAATTGAGAATGTGAAGCCAATATATCGGTCTAAGCCCTTTAAACATGCGAAAAATGATGTCACATCCCACTGTATTTACCAATTTGAATGTACCTGTGGACAAACATACATAGGGAGGACTCATCGGTCTCTGTAAGTAAGGACTTGAGAGCATATTCCTAAGTGGCTCCAGAAGCAGATAGAATTCCCAGAACCCATTAACGGTGAGAACAGGAGACCTAGCTCCTTTGTTGCAAAACATATTATAGAGACAGGACATAAAATTGACGTTTACACATCTTTCAAACCTATCTATAAAACGTGTTTGGAGCGTATCTTAAAGTTTGTGGTAACCCTAGCATTTGGGGAGTTTAAACCACCTTTATGCGTTCAAAAACAATTCGTCATCACACGAAACTTCCTTTAGTAAACTTTGTTTTGTTCAGCGATCTTCATTGTTATTTTGACCTTCACTATATCCTTTTAACTTAACCTAAATTTATTTTCTCACCTCTTATCTCTTTATTATTTTCATATATATTCACATATCTATTCCTATGATAAGTCCGTGTGTGATCAGATTGTTCGAAATGTGTTGCGCAAATACATTACACGATTAAGATAAATTACGTCTTCCTTTTGCTTTGTATAAATACTTTAATTTGTTAAGCTTTGATACGCAACTTTCATTTTTACTTTAAACATTGATCGTGATCACTTATTGACAATGTTGTGCGAGATTTTCCTGGATCATCCAACTTTAGGCTACTGAAGGCAGACTGACAGTTGCAACAGTATTGTTTATTTTTCAATACTTATTTTGATTTTCTCTTTATTATGATAAAGGGTCCATTCGTAGCTGCTTTTGCTCAAGCTAACGAAGGCGATGTTTCACCCAATATCGACGGTCCTCGCTGCATTGATACCGGCTTACCGTGTGATTATATACATAGTAGTTGTGGTGGACGTGTAAGTTACTGTTGTCTATTCAGTAATGCCGCTCTAGACTCAAAAGTGCATTGCATTTGGTCCTGGCTCCGATATGTTTGAAAGTACAAAGATTATAGCTCAAAGACAGTTTGATAAAGCATGGGTTTGTTGTATTATATTTTATCTTATAATCAAACTGTTACTTTGCGACAGACGTTATTTAATGAAGCACATACCGAAATAACGGGACCTCTTGATTATATTCATCAGTTTATCGATATGACAAGTGTGACTGTTGACTATATGGCAAGTGTCAAATATCTTATTGATAAATATTTACAGGGTCAAAAAGGTAGTACCTGCAAACCAGCTATGGGTTTCAGTTTTGCTGCTGGTACCACTGATGGTCCTGGAGAATTCGATTTTGTTCAAGGTATAAGTTTCATTTTATTCAGTGAAAGAACAGTATTATTATCATTATCAATACTTCAACAACACATCTCCGCTTTCTTCTGTTTGCTGGTGTCCTATTCAGCTAGATCCACTATTGCCCATAATCTCTCATCTCCTCCCCACACGGTCTCCATGTATCCTTCACACCAACGACCCACTCATCGCTCCCTATTCGTATTTCTCTCGAGCGATGCCCTGCATTGAGCGCGCTATCATTCGACAGCCTCCTTAGCGTATGCCCAATACACCTTCATTTTCTTCTGTATATTTGTTAAGCAATTGGCCCTTGGTTAGTTTGGTGCCAGAGTTTCTTGTTGCTAATTCCTTCTGGTCAGCCATTTGATCTCCAATGTGAAGCCAGTGAAGGTAGCTGTTGATAAAAGTCTGCAACCTGTTGGAAATCCTTTTCGTGACAAGCACGCCAAGTTTTTGATCCACATAGAAGAACTGACTGACTTCACATATGTGTTGAAAGTCCGAATCTTGTTCTTTATTCTGGCTTAGTGCAGAAGATTTCCAAGCTGGTTTCAGGTTGATGAAGGTGCATACCGTCCTTCTGATTCTCCTTTCGACATCTTCATCCGTTCTGCCTGCCTGTGGTTGAAACCGTGCTCCCTGACTAGATAAGTGAAGGAAGCCCCCTCTGTTAAATCGCTCTTTTTGATGATGATTCGTGCTGATTGTTGTTGCTGTTGGTTGGTCGGTGATCTTCATCACCTCCGTCTTCTCTATGTTCACCTGCAATCCCGTCTTCTCTGACTACTTCTTCAGGTAGTTTTTTGTTTTTCGCCTGCCTCTAAGTCTTCAACTTTCTGTAACATTAGACACAAATCATCCACGCGTGAAATCCACATCTTCTAGAGGCTTCTTATAAGTCAGTCGAACGTATTCCTGTCTTCTCACTCCCCATACACAGTCTGATGCATAGTCCAGTTCACTGCAATTAAGTACATCATCGGTGATAATAGGCAGCCTTCTCTTACTCCTGCATTCACTCCAAAGGTAGGCTTCTCAGAGTTTTCCGTTGTGGATCACCTGAAACGTTGCATTGTCATATAGCCAGCTGTTGAATGAGGTTGATAGAGACTTGGGCACTGCACGCCGTAGTGTTGAAGCAGTTTCCAAATAAATTCTCGTTCGACGCTGTCTGGTGAAGGCGTTTTCGAAGTCGATGAGGTTGAGGGAGAGGTTTGACTGGCATTCCATGCTTTGTTCTGTGATGACGATGCGAATACCTGCAATTTGATCAGCACATGATTTGCCTCTTCTGAATCTAGCTTGTTCTGGTGGGCGGAGTTCTGCATCCAGTGCATCTTCTATTCTCTCCAGGATGATGCGACTTAGTACTTTACTTGGCGTGGACAACAGCATTATTCCACACCAGTTCTTGCAGAGTGAGGCCTGAGTTGCCCTTCTTTGGTAGCTTGACAAGGTAGCTAGCCTTCCTTCCAATAGATGGGCACCTTTCCTGCTTTCCAAAACTTTAGTAGTAATGGCGTGAGCACAGATACCGCAGTCTCTGGGTCCGTTTTCAGTGCTTCTAGGGTAGGGGAAATTCCGTCTGGTCCTGCAGCCTTCTCAGCTGGATTTCAGTAGGTTGATCGCATTCAAGATTTCTGCTTTCGTTGGAGGATTGGTGTCTACTGGGAGGCAGCTCTGTGCGTGCTGTTGGTGGTGGTGTATTTCTGGGCGAGTTGCAGGTGATGGTTGATTCAAGAGTCCTTTGAAGTGATCAGCCCATTGTTTGATTTGTTTCTCCTCCTTGGTAATCAGGTTCCCTCGAAAATCTCTTACAGTTTTCATCATCTGGGTTGATCGCTTCGCGGAAAGCGAGCAGTCTGGTTATCTGATATAAATGTCCTGAGGTCTCTTTCACCAGCGGCCCACCTGCTCGTTCTGCTGTAGCTTCCGGCGAGTGTGTCGGAGAATTATCTTTAGTCTCTCGTATCTCTCTTCTTCACTTTTCCACTCAGTACAGTGTACATTGAACTCAGCTTCTGCTTCTCCTGTTGTGCATCTCTGCATTGAGTCATCTTCTCTTTCCCCATCCTCCTCTCCTCTCCTCGATTAGCTTCTAGGTAGAAGTCCGTTGGCAGCCATTCCCTGTTGTGTCTCTTCTTTCTTCCTAGAACAGTTGTACACGTTTCCTTGAACATCACCTTCAGAGAGTTAGTTTCGATGTTCTTCCACACAGGTGTCCTCAGTGATAACGCGTAGTGTCTCCGACTTTGTTCTGATCTGATCTGTAGTAAAGGTATCCCATATAGTTTTGTCCTTCACTTTCTGCGTGTTGAACTTGAGTTGTGGTCTGTCTCCAGTTGTTTTGAGGGATTTCAGCTCCACCTTGGAGGTTCCCCGAACCAGACAGTGGTGAGAGTCCACGGTCGGTTTTCGACATAGAGAGTCCACATCTGCTCCCTTTCTCGACTTTGTGTCCAGCAGGCTAGCTGCACCCCCACTTCCTTGAGCAACATTGAGACGAAGTCTATCTGGTTTGTGGTGTGTCCGTCATGCGAAATGCATGTTGCTTTGTGTATATCCTTGTGATTGTATACGCTGCCTCCGATCACCAGATCATTGAAAGCATAGAAGTCTGCGAAGAGTTCTCCGTTCTCATTCATTTCGTCCAGAGCCTCTCAACCCATGATGAGTTCTCTTCATGTATTATCTGGTCACAGTTTGGCATTCATATTACCCATAAGGGTTTTGATGACGCCATTTGGGATGTTGTCGACTACCGTTTGCAGGTGTCTATAAAAGTTTCCTTCTTGTCTTGCTCCGCGTTGTTTGTAGCACTGTGCGTAGCATTGGATAATTGTGACCTGCCTTACTTCCTTTTGAGTTGAATCTTGCTGTCGTGATCCTGGATGAAATTGGTCCTCACTTCATCAGAACTGTGGCTGCTGCTGGTGATATTATGATAATTACTCCCTCACTATGCTCGTGGTTGTCTTCTGGGTGACAGGAGCAGGCTACTGACTTACCAGTTGACAATTTTGACAGTCCACATCAATTCCATCTGCTGTCACAGATGCCCAGCATTTCTATGCCATATCTTCGCATTTCTTTGGCTACATGGGCAGCCTTCCTAGTCTCGTAGATTGTACGTACATTCCACGTCCCCATTCTCATTCTTGCTTTCATCGAGAGGAGATACGTCGACTGGGTGACTGGTTTCCCGGAGGCTTTCACCTGCTTGCGTAATCTCGCCTCGCCGACTCCAGCGAAGAATAAGATTGTTATTTGAATTTTTTGCATTTTTAATATATTTTTGTGTGCTAAAGTTTCTCTAGCAGTTTGATAGCCTTTGTAGTGACAGGTTGCCAGCCCTACTCCGAACCCTCCCTCTATACGCGGTCTTGAGAGTGGCTAGAGTTCTGGGAAGGTAGTAATCTAGTCGAACTAAACTGATAATTATGTTATAATGCATATGTGTAGGTTTCCTTGAATCTGTAACTTTTTATTGTTCCGCCGCTACCGTGTACATTCCATGATTAAATAATAATCAAGAGATAAACCAGCTATTGCTCAGTCGTTCGTTCAGTCAGATGAAGTTGCCATGTTTGCAACAGTTATATATTGTAAATCCACCTCTGGTTATTTAGTAGAATGCTGATTCGTTTACCACATACCAAGTAATGATTGTGATATCATGTACATACTTGAAACCAGTAGTACAAGGCCACCTAAATTATTGTCATGTAGCTGGAATGAATGAATTTTCTAAAGTAAATAATCTGGGAAAGAGGCCGATCACTGCAATGCATTCACTTCAGTGTAATCACAAAGTAGGGTAGTGAGACAGGATAAAAGTAGTAAAAATTGCTACACTTAAGTGGAGGGAGAGGTTGATCACCGAATCTTCATTCATCGAATCAATACCAAACACGTGCAATTGAAGTGACGCCACGTCTATACCAGATATATGGGGAATTGCAAAATGGAACAAGGGGGAGTGGAAAAAGTATGTAGAGTAAATCAAGAAGCTGTGTGAATACACTGACATAATTATGAGTGATAAATTGTGCACGAAACCTTATCCAGTTACTTATATTGTATTACTGTGTGTTATATGTAATAAACTTACTTAAGATGGATGTGTTTCGTTGAATACTTTTATCGTATGATATTTTTTTTATAGTTACCCTCAGTACATCAAATCTATATAGCTTTAAACAGTCTAATTAAATGGAATAAATTTTACTTAAAGGTACAAAACACGGTAGCACATTTTGGACGATAGTACGTGATTTCATAAAAATACCAAGTAAAGCATTGGTTGAATGTCAAGCACCGAAACCAGTTTTACTTCCAACTGGAGAAGTAAGCAAATTTGTGTTTTTCTCATTTTATCATTGAGACTTGGGTAGAAGTATTCAAATGCACTCATGAAGGTGAGGTTGTACTATTAGCTGTTTTAATATATTAAAGTGGTGTGTTTAGTGCTTAGTTGGCCAAATTCAGCAGCAGTTCGTACGTGCTTGCGAATGCCTGAGTAGTGACTAGTTACCTCTATTGTTTTACATTCATTTCCTTGGTTGTGGAGATTACAATTCATATGTTTGTTTACGTGAATCTTGTATTTCCCATTGATTAAATAAATCAGGCCGGAATTTCCTGTCTCTGATAACTCGTTGGCTCCTAGTACGAAGGTTTAAACGATATCTAAAGATTAACATGATGTTATTTAATGGATAGTGACTAGCAGTGGAATGCAAGACGCTCATTTCGTCCTGTTTGGGACTTGTCAACTGTGCGTGCTCGCCGACCATGCAGGTGGGCCAGGGTTCGATCCACGTTCGACGCACTCCTTTACCTCGCTAAGCCAGTAGTAAGACTGGTAAAAAGGGAATATTGGGCATGAAGCTAGCAACCCCATCCTGTAAAAATAATCACCACTGCCACAGAAACCTCAAGCCTCTAGCTTGAAGCCCTATGTTCCACTGGGAACGTAATAGAATAAATAAAAAAACTGGATATACCTACTGTCTTCAGTGAGTGATGGTCTCCTCACTGAAACTCTAACCCTGGACCCATCGTTTCAAATACCATAGTGTTGTCCACTAGGCTACTCAGGGCTCTAGTTTTTCATTTTAAATAATATCTGAGATTTACGTTATTTTGGATTATTATGCTACAAATCAATCGATAGTTATTTTATCACTTAATGTGTTATGTTTGGATAAATTAATTTCTTTTATCATTGTTATTGCTTAAATGCTAGTTTACTCAACCCTATATCTTTTGAATGACTTAACATTATGTCTTATATTGCTAATGACTACCTGCTTATTTCAAGTATCCTAAACCGTAAGAGTTTTAGTATATTTCTTTAGAGCTAAACTATTTATACTCATTTTATCTAGACTTTTGGTAAGCTGAATCCTCTTTCTTGAGTCAAATGAAATTAATATCATGTAGTCAAAAAATATGCTAATCCTAAGTTCTGATCAAAGTCAGTTATCGGATAAACCGCCACTGTAATGAAATTACATTTCTTGAACTGTATGAACATAAGAGTGCCTCTTGTAAATATGGAAACGTCAGATATCGTAAGTGAATGTAGCATTGACGTTTAGAACCATTTGTGAAAAGAAACTGTGACATAACTAACACTCCCATTATATGAATACTAACATGCTTATCTGTCACAGAAAACTAACTATTTACTGAAACTGTATGCTAAGTGGATTTCTTATTACTCGTCCGACACTGCTTACAAAGTACTGAATTTTTTACAGTGTGTGTATCACCATAATGTTAATTTGTTGTGTAAGATTTCACTAAACGCTCGGTAATTGTCTTCTCTATTTTTCAGATGACACATCCTTATCCCTGGCAACCTTCTATTGTCGAAACTCAAATCCTTTCAATTGGACCTCTCTTAATCGTTGCTTTGCCAGGTGAATTTACTACTATGTCTGGAAGGCGAATTCGTAAAGCAGTCGCCAAAGTAATGTTTTAATATTCTTTATACTTGTATTTTGAATTTTTGCAGGTATTTTTGATGTCTCCAGTTTAAAGTCTATTCAACTGTTATAGTACTATCTTTCTATTATGATCTTTGTATCTTTATACATAGCTTTCATTTACCGTATAATATTCTAATGTTATACTATAGTACTTTTCAAAGGACAAATGGTTTCACATTAGCATTCCAAACTCATACAAGTGGAAGTTTCCACTTAGTACACATGATTATTAATTCAGTGACAAAAGATTTCCCATGCATTTAAACCAATGTTAGCATTTGTTCTTTCATATGAATAAAATGAATCTTCATTCTGGAATCAAGGTATTTTCCGATTGTTCTCAAAAGTGTAACATTTTAAGTTGCCATACAAAGGTAGAGATAAAAATTTAAAATAAGTATAATGAACGGAAATGTGCGACATAAACAATAAGTATGTGGGGAATAATGAGAATTCAATGAATTTGAGAGTTTACACAGAGTTAGTGCATTTATGTCATTGAGAACCATTTTGAGGACACCATCCGGACAATCTGTACATCCCTACGTGACTTTAACGATGCAAGTCTATATAGACTGGCACAATGTCTTAATTTAATATATCTTAACATCTGTCCAACTTAATCTTATGTTGACAAAAATTATTCGAGCAGGGAGGTGGTGAGGTGGCATGAATAACACGTGTTCTAACCATCTAGATCTAAGTGGCTAAACGACCTCATCGATTAATTTACCCTCCTTATCTAACACTTTACGCCCAACCTCGATTCCACTGTATCAAACAAATGAACACAGGTAATAGGACGTAGACACCTACAATTAAATGTATCTTCCGCTCAAATGGTTACGTATCCCATCCATAAGAGAGTACACAGCTAGTGTTTTATTACTGGTTAATAAAAGCCACTAATCAGTAGTACATTTGAAGGGACGTCTGTTTTTCGATGTTTCTTTAGTTTTAATAGAATCACCGTTGATTTAGTTATTCATTGAAGTCATTACTTACCAGCATTTCATATAATAGCGTATGTATAAAAATATTGATGCCTCAGGTATTGTAAATTTGGTGTTTGACCTTGCATTGCTGTAATTTGTGTGTATAATTCATGTAATAGTCCACTTCTCAAGTAGGTAGCTCGCACTCACTTTACTCATAAATCCTAAATACCTTAAATAATCTATACATAAATCTATAAATCTTAGCGTGTTTAAAATGCAAACAGGTTGAAATCATTTCAAGACTCTAACATTCACTCAAAGATAAATATTTATGTGACTTTCTGGTTAAATTTTAGCCTAAATGCATATCGCTTCGGCATCTTATCTCAACCAAGCTTTTGTTTCATTTTTAATCATCATGCCCATGTGTTTAAAATGTGTCTATTCCATTATGTAAGCCAATAAACTGATACATTGAATGGTACACGTCATAATATCTGTAAACGAGGTGATGTTGTATCTAAATACATAAGCCTATTTGTTTAGTGAGTGTAACATCATTTGGTAAATTAAAATCTGTATTCAATAACGTTTAAAACAAAACATCGAATGATAAAACATGTGAGTTATGTTACCAAATATGTTAATAACATTAATCTAGAATTGTGAATATCTTTTGGACTATAAAGTATATTTGTGTAAGCCAGCTTATATTTGCCAAACAAACATGTTGCTTGCAAAGGATGATATGATTGTTTGCTCATTTAGACTAAAGCGTTACATTTTCATCAGATCCTATAAAATCTGTGCAATACTCAATATTTTGTTTATCTGTTGTTAACGTTTACAATTACTGTGTGTTATCGATCAGAAAATGTTTCCTCAAATATCATAATCTAAGATGAAATCCTACTATAGACTCTGTTGGATATCACTTTCGCTGAAGCCTAGCTAGTCAGACCTGATGTATTTGACCACCAGCACTGATTGATCTGCGTGGTTTCCAACTGTTGGTACTACTCAGCAGTATAAATCGTCTTATATACAAGTGTTTCATAATTCATGTATTTTATTATTTGAATAAACAGTTTGTGACCACGTAACGTAGTGTTATGTTTTGATAAAGATATCCTTGGGCTTCTGTTAGCTTATTCCTAATTTTGTCAGAATTGCATTGAAATGAGTATATACAAAATGAAGTTTTACACCCTTTAAGTTTGTGTATGCTGACAATTGTACTATTGATATAAGTATGAAACTAAATTAAAAAGAATTTGAACGCTCTAGAAGGCTCTAACTTCATTTATTCATGACGTTTCAAACTCAGTTTACCCCTCATATAAAGGTAATTACATAACTTTTTGGACTTTTTTTTTTACACTTCTGGTATTTGTCACTCCCTGGTTATATTGGTTATAATGTTTCCCATATTTCAAGCATTTATGTTGCATGATTGTTATTGTGAACATTACTTCCATGGAAAATAAATCAGTGAATAGGTCAGAAGATGTGAATGATCAAATCACATAAAGACACTATTAATAGTGATTTTATTCAAAAATGCATGTAGACCCGTGAGAAAAATAAGAGTAGTCATGAAACTCATGAGAATAATATAAGTAATATCGAATTCAAAGCATCTATAATACTGTTACACAACAGAAGGAACATCAGGAGAGGATTCTTAAGAAACCTGGAATTAGTGTGATAAACTGATCAACTCACTCAGAGACAAACTTTGTTGGCTTAAGGACCCGATAGATTTAATTAAGAAAAAATAATATAATTTACTAAATACCATGTAGTTCCTTTTGGGTCAGACTTATAGATCAAGGCAGTTCACATTATTGGGACATAAGAATTGAGCTAACGCTGGAATGATTGGCTCTGCCAAATTAAATAATCCGGGAAAAAGGTCGATCACTGCAATGCATTCACTTCAGTGTAATCACACAGTAGGGTAGCCTCCAAAGCCTCAGGATGGTCGGGGGTGGGTGCCTTGCGCTGCGGGTTGGCCACCCCTCCGCACACCTCTTGAAATGCTCCCATATAACCGGGCGTCTTACATAGCCTCTCCTGAGGAAGTCCTACTCACTGCCTTCACGTGGCGGAGGTGTTTCTCACCAAAGTGAGAGGGCGAAAGCGGATGCCCGGCGCTCTTCACCGGGTTGACTGTCCATTGGATGACAGTCTAGGGGAGATGGCTAAACCCTGATTCCAAACCTCCAACGACTGGCGTATGAAGCTCACTGGAGCTCACCGGCAGACGTATGGACAAAGGGCTTGTTGGATGTCCTGGATGTCTGGCCCCATTCAAAAAGGCGTATGAACCGAACTGCGGTCACCGGCTGCCAATGGATAGTGGACTCCCTACTCCACTCCTACTGCCTTGTAGGTCACACTTGGTTGTGTAAAGGCTAGAGCTGCACTCTCAAACAAAAGGCCGAGCGATTCTGGGGACATCACTCGTACCAAATTCCCATGAAACTTCATGAACTCTCTTACAAACGTGGTACAGTCAAGGCTGATATGGAGTGCCTGGGGCTACAAACCGTCTACGGACTCCGTCTGTGGAACAAGAATTGGAAAACCCTGTCGCAAAACCTTGCATCAGATCGCCGTGCCTGGGCAGCGATGATTCGAGATGTTCATGAAGCCGGCTCATCCTCCCGTAGGAGATAGCCGAAGTAAAGTAAAGTAAGCAGTGAGACAGGATAAAACTATTAAAAAGTGCTACAGTTAAGTAGAGGGAGAGGTTGGTCACCGAATCTTCATTCATCGAAACAATACCAAACACGTGCAATTGAAGTGACGCCACGTCTATACCAGATATATGGGGAATTGCAAAATGGAACAAGGGGGAGTGGAAAAAGTATGTAGAGTAAATCAAGAAGCTGTGTGAATACACTGACATAATTATGAGTGATAAATTGTGCACGAAACCTTATCCAGTTACTTATATTGTATTACTGTGTGTTATATGTAATAAACTTACTTAAGATGGAACTACAGAACATTGTCCGGAATCTATACTTGCATATTATATTATTATATAATCTATGTTTTACTACTAATGAGTGTGAGCGTTACCGATCTGTGAATAAGTTGGATTATATTTCAATGGGATTGTTTCCAACAAGCAGTTTTAAAAATGAAGAGTCAATTTTCTTTCCACACCGAAGAAGAATGTCGGTTTTCATTGATCTGTTATAAATGAAACACAAAGGAATAGCCTGTGTCGATGAATCTGGTAGTTCAGAGAATAGGCACTTCTTTTTATATCAGTGAAACATTTGAAGACAAGAAAGTTACATTATATCATGAAAGTTATAAAAAAAGTTGTAATGTAATTTTGTAACATTTTATGAACTCAGAAAGAACCATTTCTTCATAGAATCAAAGCTTAAGATACAAATTATGATTTACTTAATTAAGAGAGTGAATAATTTAAATCATCAAGGTTTCTTTTTGCGAGAGACGCACATCAATTCGATTTTCTGTCTGTTGAGTTCAACTATGTATCGTGATAATTCTTAACTTTAAATCTATGCTTACCTGAAGTGTGTGCATAAATTTGACCAGCGATGATTATGTGCATATTTTGATCATTTTCAGATTAAAAATCGGTTGACAATCACTAACATATTCTCAAATTATGCATTTCTAATAAATGTCCATTTAGGATCAGATGACTGATTGTGTAAATTTTCAGTGTAGAAATGCGTAGTAAAGTTGAACCAAGCTTCATATAATCACACACAAAAAACAGAAAAAATCAAAGAAATTGTAATAAATGGAAATATGCGCAAGATAGAATAATTTTATAGAGAATAGTGAGAATTCGATGAATTTGGGAGATTATTAAGGGTGCAGACATCTGAGAACGACTTTATAACATACTGCCAACAGTCTCTAGCCGCTGGTTATCTGGGTTCTCGATGGCACGGATGATTTACATCTCCCTAAGTGAATGAAAACAACAGTTTTATTTTGAATTGACAACTGCTTACTCTTTTTTGCCAATATTGCTAAGGCAGAGGGTTGACATGAGTAACACATGTAGGAAATGAAGCTTCAAAAATTCATCGACTGAATTTCCTCCTTGCCAAACACTCAAAGCCTAACCTTAATTTTACTAACTACATTTCATCACTGCACAAGAGACAGAACTCAAACATATATGGTCGAAGACAACTAACATCTACATATCCTTCACTTTCAGTGGTCTTATTTCACAAAATGGAACGAACAGCTACACAGTACACATGTCCTCTTCATCCTGAACTGCAGTCAATTAGGGTGTAAGTAGCAATCGTAGAAAGGCATCAATGGGTGTGACACAGATGGTGTTTGTTGGCGAATGATGATAGGTTTGTTGTGAGACTCAGGCAGTGCGATCAAAGTTCTTTAGAAATAACTTGATCACTGTTAATCTACGCAGCTGTACATATACCAGTTTCAGTTATAATTTTGTGTTTGTCTACTGTCGATGCTTAATATAATCTATTTAACTATGTTTCCTGAGAATGTTTACATTAATCTGTTCACCCTCTGGGTGTACCACTGACTGCTGCCGAAAATTATGCTTGCAGCCTTTGTCTATTTTGCAATTCATTTTTCTATTGAGAAGTGAAGCTGTTGGCAAAGTTTAAGGTTACTAGCATTATTACACTTACTGTTTCAGTATTAATATACCTGCACTATACATCCACTATATATATATATATTCTCAAATAAGAGGATGTAATTAAATCCTTTTCAGTGCAAGCTAAATGTAGCAGGATGAATTTATATTTTCAACCAACGCATATAAGGGAATGTTAGAACTACTGAGACGCGTTGACTTACGTATAGCACGCATACACTGAATCATTTTTGAACTTTTCTAAAGTTAACATAGATAAATGGCTGAAAATACCGTATATTCAAACCAGATAATGCATTTTGAAAACTAATTAAAATTTTAGGTAACACCTAGAATTCAATTCTTCTTCTGGTATTCAGCCCTGTGTGCGTTGCTCTCTGTCTGCGTAGATGGTCCGGGTTCGATTCTAGGCCAACGCACTGCAAAAGTGCACCCAGTTTACTAACCTGTAGTAAGCCCGAAATAGATAGGAGATTGGGTGAGAAGCTGGCGACCCCGCCCCGTAAAAATAACACTGCAGCTAGTGAATGGATAAAGTTTAAATCCCTTTGCCCCACCCAAAGGGCATGGGATGAAAAAAAAGTAAACAACAGTAAATTTCAGGACTCAACTAATCCACTCAAGCAGTGCCTCACCAGCATTTTTATTTTGTTTGGTTTCACAGGTATTTTTTTAAATTGTAGATGAGCTAATCGAGCTGAAGGTGTTCAGAGCATCGTTAGTTTATTTAATACATTTATTAAAATAAAAAGCCATGCTTATTTATTTGTTCGACTTAACAGCATGCATCAACTGTTAATAACTCCTCAGGCGACTATTTACAATCAATTAAAAAACTAGTTCACATCACCAGATGATTAAAATCAAATTTTTCTGCTAATTCTTATTACCGATCCAAAGTCTGTTGATTATTATTTAAATATGCATATGCACATAAATTTAAGTGGCTAGATGTATATTGAAGATTGTTCGAAAAATGGCTTCTCTTCAGAGTAACAAGAGTTATACAGATGGCATAGTTGTTTACTAAGCACAATATTATTGTACTGATAATGATTTTTGTAAAAAATGAATTTCAACAAACTAATGGTTCTTAGTGAAAAACTTGTCTCACATGGTGTTATTTAATATACACAGCGTCGTCGTCGTTACATTAGAGATTTTTCCTCGCAATATGGTACATAACAAACATACAGTATTTTAGTAAGTCGTTACATTTCTAAGTAGGCTTTTTGCGTGAAATCCAAATGGAAAACACTGAGTTGAGCATCTTGAAATTATCTCAGGGATAGCATGTAAGGAAATGGAAGCTTCTAGACAGTTGTAGAGCCAGTTCAAATTGATAGCAGAGGATTGAATGCAATTGGGATGTCCCACTGAGACCCTGTATTCCACCCTAAATGTAAGGAATGAATAATAGTTATAATATAATAATTGTAACTAGTTTAACACCTTAAGTCATAGTCCAAGGATAATGGATTTGAGCTACTTGATCAGATATATACAGTTTTCAGCGCCATGTCCGTAAATCATTTCAGCATAATGTGGCGAATTAGATATAGAAAGGCGATATTAGCACAAAACTTAGTATCACGATTCAGCTTACCATAACTCATGTCAATGTTTCGATTGGAAAATGATAATACGTGGAAAAAGAAGCATCAAATACAGGACTTCAAGTGAACATGGAGAATACAGAGGCGATAGAAATATCTAACTCATAACAAAAAACATCAATCACTACCAACGGGGTCACTCTATAAGAATTCATTTCTTTTACTTATCTATATGGCATCGTTTCAGATACAGGTGACACGGATGAGGAGGTCAAAGCAAGGATCGGGAAAGCAAAAGAGACCTTCATTAATATGAAATCATTGTGGAAATCTGCTACATTGAGAATAAGGAAGGAGAATAAGATTAACACTAATGTCAAGTCAGTCCTTCTGCATGGTTCAGAGACATGGCGCGTCACGAGAAGGATTCCCAACAGGTTTCAGACCTTCACTCCATACTGATCATCAGATGGCCAGAGGAGATAGGCAATAAGGAAACCTGGGAATGAATCAATCAAGAAGCTACCGCCCACCAAATGTGCTGAAGGAAATATGGATGGATCGGACACACTGAAGTGACCGTTGAGAGACATCACGCTTCACCTCCTTGAATGGGAAATAAAAAGATTGGCACCAAGGCGGTCTTGTGACCAGGAGATGAGAGTTTATGGGTAATTGTGAAGCCAACTAAAGTGGACTACAGCGAACAGGATGAAACGGAGATATGCTACTGAAGCTCCATTTTCCATTTGGAACCCATGTGGATGATAACAATGATAATGTATATGCTTTCATCAAAACTCAATAAAAATGATTTAGTTAAGAAAAAGTACGGTTATGAAATTTACTTTAGTACGTGGGGTATTGTTTTTTAATGAAGTTTAATACCTTGTATATATTAAGTGTTGCAAAATGGCCTCTGAAATTTGCTGGCGATCACTGTGAAGTAGTTAATGCATCACAAGTCGGTATTTAATAGAAACAGATTCCACAATTCATTTTGTTATATTAACGGTCGAAATTTCCTTTTTTCTTCTACGCCTTTGCAAATTTTACAACATTTTTCTTATTCTGCTGCTTTACTTAACTACTTAGACTGCTGGTATTGCCACTAACGAAAATCAACCTCAGTATGAAGTGGTTCTTGCCGGACTGTCAAATGTTTACTCCAGTTATGTCGCTACTCCTGAAGAATATCAAGTGAGTATTGCCTATTTTCTGTTGATTTAGTCCTAAGAGTTCAACCATATTCTGCTTAAAAAATACATAATTCATCACACATCTGGTGAGTTGATTTCGGTCAGTTACATCCTTTATGCATGATGATAAATATGTGTTTACTTTGACGTGGCTTTTTTAGTGATCCCCCCAAGAAAATCTTTTTTCTGTACCACCTGTTGATCTCCATTCTAAATTCCAGATGAAGCCAGGCAAAAAGGCTCTTGGCTCATACTTTTTGCGTTGCTATTCAAAGGTGGAGATCATTTGTCGTAATTATGTTAAGGTGGCTTTTTATTTTCATCCAGCATTACTGTAGATCTGAGAAGGCAAAACGTCACATTTAGTTTTCGTCAAACATACTGCCAGTAACTTTATTCGAATAGTACTCAAACATGTTTTCTTCCATTCAGCAACAAGTTATCACACTTGTCTGCACCTTACTAAATGCAAGAAAATAATAAATAGGGGATTTCTGTGTTCATTTCAACGATGTGGACATAAAGATGTTCAGATAGGAAGTAATCAGGTAGTCAGTGGAAGACCACACTCCAAGGTATCCTGACAATACCTGCTACTACCTTTGTTTTCTTATACTAGCGGAGCTATTGTTTCTGGATCCAAAGATGTTTAGAAATGGCTACTGAATTCATAAACTTCCTTAAGGATGTCTTTTGTGAGTGCAGTGGAGCACAACAGAAGCTTAATTGCGAATGAACAAAGATTTTACATCATAAACAGTGGTAGGTTGCTAGTCCTAAAGATCTAGCAAAGTAACGATGCTGAGATATCTATTACGGTTAGTCAAAATTACTGAGATGAGCAAGCTGGTTGTTCATTCTTACAGAAGACGATAGTTTGGATTGTCAGATAAACTCTTAAGGCGGTTAAACTGGCTTCCATCTAATCAGTTGCGTATAACATGCAGAGGGATTGCAGAGCTTAAAGCAACATTAGTTAACCAATTTGACGGTCATCAGAACTTGGAATATTTTCAGACATTTTGAATTAAACCCGCCTAGGACTATTTACTGACATTCGAAATCTTAATTGAGATACAGGATTCTTGCAGTTCTATTTAACCGACATTACCCTCAAAATGTGATATTTTCTGAATATTCACAACGACTTCATTTTATTCCGTATATTTGTTAAGCAATTGGCCCTTGGTTAGTTTGGTGCCAGAGTTTCTTGTTGCTAATTCCTTCTGGTCAGCCATTTGATCTCCAATGTGAAGCCAGTGAAGGTAGCTGTTGATAAAAGTCTGCAACCTGTTGGAAATCCTTTTCGTGACAAGCACGCCAAGTTTTTGATCCACATAGAAGAACTGACTGACTTCACATATGTGTTGAAAGTCCGAATCTTGTTCTTTATTCTGGCTTAGTGCAGAAGATTTCCAAGCTGGTTTCAGGTTGAAGAAGGTGCATACCGTCCTTCTGATTCTCCTTCCGACATCTTCATCCGTTCTGCCTGCCTGTGGTTGAAACCGTGCTCCCTGACTAGATAAGTGAAGGAAGCCCCCTCTGTTAAATCGCTCTTTTTGATGATGATTCGTGCTGATTGTTGTTGCTGTTGGTTGGTCGGTGATCTTCATCACCTCCGTCTTCTCTATGTTCACCTGCAATCCCGTCTTCTCTGACTGCTTCTTCAGGTAGTTTTTTGTTTTTCGCCTGCCTCTAAGTCTTCAACTTTCTGTAACATTAGACACAAATCATCCACGCGTGAAACCCACATCTTCTAGAGTCTTCTTATAAGTCAGTCGAACGTATTCCTGTCTTCTCACTCCCCATACACAGTCTGATGCATAGTCCAGTTCACTGCAATTAAGTACATGCCTCCAAAGCCTCAGGATGGTCGGGGGTGGGTGCCTTGCGCTGCGGGTTGGCCACCCCTCCGCACACCTCTTGAAATGCTCCCATATGACCGGGCGTCCTACATAGCCTCTCCTGAGGAAGTCCTACTCACTGCCTTCACGTGGCGGAGGTGTTTCTCACCAAAGTGAGAGGGCGAAAGCGGATGCCCGGCGCTCTTCGCCGGGTTGACTGTCCATTGGATGACAGTCTAGGGGAGATGGCTAAACCCTGATTCCAAACCTCCAACGACTGGCGTATGAAGCTCACTGGAGCTCACCGGCAGACGTATGGACAAAGGGCTTGTTGGATGTCCTGGATGCCTGGCCCCATTCAAAAAGGCGTATGAACCGAACTGCGGTCACCGGCTGCCAATGGATAGTGGACTCCCTACTCCACTCCTACTGCCTTGTAGGTCACACTTGGTTGTGTAAAGGCTAGAGCTGCACTCTCAAACAAAAGGCCGAGCGATTCTGGGGACATCACTCGTACCAAATTCCCATGAAACTTCATGAACTCTCTCGAGATGTTCATGAAGCCGGCTCATCCTCCCGTAGGAGATAGCCGAAGTAAAGTAATTAAGTACATCATCGGTGATAATAGGCAGCCTTTTCTTACTCCTGCATTCACTCCAAAGGTAGGCTTCTCAGAGTTTTCCGTTGTGGATCACCTGAAACGTTGCATTGTCATATAGCCAGCTGTTGAATGAGGTTGATAGAGACTTGGGCACTGCACGCCGTAGTGTTGAAGCAGTTTCCAAATAACTTCTCGTTCGACGCTGTCTGGTGAAGGCGTTTTCGAAGTCGATGAGGTTGAGGGAGAGGTTTGACTGGCATTCCATGCTTTGTTCTGTGATGACGATGCGAATACCTGCAATTTGATCAGCACATGATTTGCCTCTTCTGAATCTAGCTTGTTCTGGTGGGCGGAGTTCTGCATCCAGTGCATCTTCTATTCTCTCCAGGATGATGCGACTTAGTACTTTACTTGGCGTGGACAACAGCATTATTCCACACCAGTTCTTGCAGAGTGAGGCCTGAGTTGCCCTTCTTTGGTAGCTTGACAAGGTAGCTAGCCTTCCTTCCAATAGATGGGCACCTTTCCTGCTTTCCAAAACTTTAGTAGTAGAAGACAGATTCAGCGAAGAAAATTTCCTTTATCGACGAAATCATCTTCAGAGGCTGTAAAATCGTATTTATACTTACGAAAATATATAGTGGTCTATTATTGAGTAATAGGGGGTGACATAATTGATATAATTACTCAGAAGTGGCTTTAGAAGTGAAAATTAGAAGTTGTGAATTACGTGGTACTCAACGGCACAAAGACAGAAATTCGATAAGGTTAAAATTGCTATTAAGTGAGAATAAAGGTATTTGAGTGTCAGTTTAACAAGTGTGAAGAGGGTGTGAAAATATACAAAAGGAGTATATGAGAGTGATAATAGTGAATTAATTATTAAAGCAAAAGCTAACTGAAAGTCAAATTAGAACGAAAAGAAAAAATCAAAATATATTTTTATTTACAAGGAACGATTAGTGAAGAGGTTAAGACCAAGGTAGAATAAGAGACTAGACAAACTTTTTCCGTCTGGTCCTGCTGCCTTCTCGGCTGGACTTCAGTAGGTTGATCGCATTCAAGATTTCTGCTTTCGTTGGAGGATTGGTGTCTACTGGGAGGCAGCTCTGTGCGTGCTGTTGGTGGTGGTGTATTTCTGGGCGAGTTGCAGGTGATGGTTGATTCAAGAGTCCTTTGAAGTGATCAGCCCATTGTTTGATTTGTTTCTCCTCCTTGGTAATCAGGTTCCCTCGAAAATCTCTTACAGTTTTCATCATCTGGGTTGATCGCTTCGCGGAAAGCGAGCAGTCTGGTTATCTGATATAAATGTCCTGAGGTCTCTTTCACCAGCGGCCCACCCGCTCGTTCTGCTGTAGCTTCCGGCGAGTGTGTCGGAGAATTATCTTTAGTCTCTCGTATCTCTCTTCTTCACTTTTCCATTCAGTACAGTGTACATTGAACTCAGCTTCTGCTTCTCCTGTTGTGCATCTCTGCATTGAGTCATCTTCTCTTTCCCCATCCTCCTCTCCTCTCCTCGATTAGCTTCTAGGTAGAAGTCCGTTGGCAGCCATTCCCTGTTGTGTCTCTTCTTTCTTCCTAGAACAGTTGTACACGTTTCCTTAAACATCACCTTCAGAGAGTTAGTTTCGATGTTCTTCCACACAGGTGTCCTCAGTGATAACGCGTAGTGTCTCCGACTTTGTTCTGATCTGATCTGTAGTAAAGGTATCCCATATAGTTTTGTCCTTCACTTTCTGCGTGTTGAACTTGAGTTGTGGTCTGTCTCCAGTTGTTTTGAGGGATTTCAGCTCCACCTTGGAGGTTCCCCGAACCAGACAGTGGTGAGAGTCCACGGTCGGTTTTCGACATAGAGAGTCCACATCTGCTCCCTTTCTCGACTTTGTGTCCAGCAGGCTAGCTGCACCCCCACTTCCTTGAGCAACATTGAGACGAAGTCTATCTGGTTTGTGGTGTGTCCGTCATGCGAAATGCATGTTGCTTTGTGTATATCCTTGTGATTGTATACGCTGCCTCCGATCACCAGATCATTGAAAGCACAGAAGTCTGCGAAGAGTTCTCCGTTCTCATTCATTTCGTCCAGAGCCTCTCAACCCATGATGAGTTCTCTTCATGTATTATCTGGTCACAGTTTGGCATTCATATTACCCATAAGGGTTTTGATGACGCCATTTGGGATGTTGTCGACTACCGTTTGCAGGTGTCTATAAAAGTTTCCTTCTTGTCTTGCTCCGCGTTGTTTGTAGCACTGTGCGTAGCATTGGATAATTGTGACCTGCCTTACTTCCTTTTGAGTTGAATCTTGCTGTCGTGATCCTGGATGAAATTGGTCCTCACTTCATCAGAACTGTGGCTGCTGCTGGTGATATTATGATAATTACTCCCTCACTATGCTCGTGGTTGTCTTCTGGGTGACAGGAGCAGGCTACTGACTTACCAGTTGACAATTTTGACAGTCCACATCAATTCCATCTGCTGTCACAGATGCCCAGCATTTCTATGCCATATCTTCGCATTTCTTTGGCTACATGGGCAGCCTTCCTAGTCTCGTAGATTGTACGTACATTCCACGTCCCCATTCTCATTCTTGCTTTCATCGAGAGGAGATACATCGACTGGGTGACTGGTTTCCCGAAGGCTTTCACCTGCTCGCGTAATCTCGCCTCGCCGACTCCAGCGAAGAATAAGATTGTTATTTGAATTTTTTGCATTTTTAATATATTTTTTGTGTGCTAAAGTTTCTCTAGCAGTTTGATAGCCTTTGTAGTGACAGGTTGCCAGCCCTACTCCGAACCCTCACTTTTTAACAAGGCTTGTGATTAGCTACGAAACTAGCAAGTTGGTTCACTGGTCCAGGTTAGGTATTTTCATATAGAGCGTAGTAATAATCAGTAATGCAATATATATTATATTAGTGTGCGCGGTGTATAGGAAATTTTGTGTATATCAAACGTGGTGGAATATGTAATACGTTATATATGTATAGTCAGTCAGATGGTTAAATTAATATTGCGTTAGTTTTATATATATATATATATATATATATATATATATATATATTTACTGGCACCTTCAATTCTGTTCACTTTCTTTTCTCTCAATACAACTTCAGTTACAAAGATACGAGGCTGCTTCCACTATTTATGGTCCGTATACACTTCCTGCTTACGAACAACAATTTATGAAATTAGCCTGGTCGTTAGTTAAAGTATGTTGAATCATTTCATTATGATTAATTTGTCAATTAAACATTTTTGTGCCTGTATATATTATTGTAAACCATTTACGTTCTTGGTGTGAAAGCTTCATTTTCGCTCCGTATTTTGTCGTTTTCTTACTTCCGCTCTTTCTTTAAAGCCCTGAAAATGCTTTATGTTGTTTTTGTTTGCTTTCACTGCGTTCACCTTTTACCACTAGACTTCTATTCGCTGTATTTTTCTTTAGAAATTTACAAGCGAGATCTTAGCAATATCAATATTATATTCACGTTTCGACTTCGTGGTACAGGAAACCGCGCAAAACACATGCATTAGATCATGACCCTATTGACTTGATAAAAAGTGAGTGAGCGAAACGATACAATGTCAAGAAGTCAGGTGAAAATATCTATTTTCAGACTATTGCATCCTTTAAAAATGTGTGCTATCATAAAATAGGTCAGTTACAAGCATATTTTGCTTTACATTAGTTCAACGAAGGTCATGGTAATATTTTCGGAAATGGATCAAAAAATATTACCAGCGTGATTAGTGTTAAAAATTAATCATAGAAGCTAAGAAAACAACGGGTATAGAAATATATTTATGTAATTTGACTGATAGCAATTTAATCCTGGTCTCAAGTTTCCTTCTGTCTACCAATTCTCAGCTCTCTTGAGTTTGAACACGTTTGTGCGATGTTTAAAGTATGTAGAAAATCAAAACAAATGATTTAACGAAGAGACCCTTTTCAACGAATTTATCATCAAGCTGTATAATCGTATATATATGGTTGTTTGTTTTTTATTTTATGAAGTTATATCCGGTGAGGGAATTGAATCATACATGTGAATGCATAAAATAATAATAATATGAAATCTAATTAAAACTGAGATGTTTGTGATTATAATCGTAGTTAAATGTCAAGTGGCAAAGCAAATTAATGTCATATATAGAATAAGGAAGAGTATACAAATTGAATAGACAAAAATGAAAAATGAAAAATTGGTAGAGCTAAAATATGATTGGGGATTACCATACTTTAGCATAGAGGGATTAATACCATGAAAGTTGGAGGGGTTGAACGAACTTTTTCTGTATACAGAGATCTGGCTTTTCTGTTTCGACAGCCAAAGCTTCAGCAATACAGATGAGTTGGGTACGTAGGGATTTGGGTAAATTACTCTTTGCCTTATTTTTAGAATTTTGAATATATTTGTGCGTTGAAGTTTTAGTAGCAATTTGGTTAAGTTTTGGGGGTGGAGTTGCTAGCACCACGCCCCAACCCTCCCTCTTTATCCGGGCTTGGGACCGGCTAGAATACTAGTGACCTAGTAATCTAGGCGAGGTTAACCAAAAATAAGGCAAAGAGTAATTTACCCAAATCCCTACGTACCCGACTCATCTGTTTTGTTGAAGCTTTGGCTGTCGAAACAGAAAAGCCAGATCTCTGTACTCTTTGCCTTATAGATGACTTTAAAGGCGGAGGCTATAGAGATAGGGTGATCATTATCGACCAGGTGTTCATCAATGATCGCGCTTCTTATTGCTCCACTTCCACCTTTTCGTAACCGTGCAGGATAGTGTTCTTGCACCCTCTTGGACAAAACTCGAGTCGAACGACCGACATACCTAGCTCCACACGAGCAGGTGAATTGATAAACACATATAGAGTTGGTCAACAGCGGGATCTTGTCCTTCAGGTTATTGAACAGTAATGGTCGACTGGTAAAGGCTGTTCTCAGAGATGCAGCAGGGAATGTTCTTTTCAGGGACTGTGATATCCTTCTTTTCATGATATTGGAAGCTAAGTCATCCTTGAATTCCAAGCTCATGTACAGTATCTTCTTGGGTGGGGATGACAAGTCACGTTTCATAGGATTCGAATGTATATTCTTGTCTATAAGGCGTGGTGGAAATCCATTTTCTATTAGGATTTTGCTTAAGATGTATAACTCAACTTCCACAGTATCAGGGCTGAATACCGGCTGATAAAGGAAGAACAACAGTAATCCTGGACACAGAAGACTACATAAAGAAAGCAGAGGATTTACTCAAAGATAATAATGTATATCAACAGTTGACAAAAAACCCTATACAAACATTAGATAACAAGATCAGAACAACGTTAAATAAACTAACGAAATCAGGACAAATTACAGAGCAAGATCAATGGCGAATGAAATCTAACGGACCTATTTTACCTCGATCCTATGGTAGACCGAAACTACACAAACCAAATATTCCCTTACGACCAATCGTTTCGCTTCCAGGAACATCAACACATAATCTATCTAAAGAACTTTTCAGGAAATTAAATTACCTAACAGAATCATGCGACCACTCTATCAATTCGTCAATCCAATTTTTAGAGAAAATCAAAAACGTTCAAGTAGAAGACAATGAAATAATGGTGTCCCTTGATGTCACAGCATTATATACTTCAATTATTCCAAAACTAGCAACAGAAACTATGCAACAATTACTCTATAGTGATGAAAACACAAAAACGCAATTATCAACTTGGATAGAACTCATAAAATTATGCCTTACAACATACTTCCAGTTCAATACTCAAATATATGAACAAATAAAAGGAACACCAATGGGATCGCCCATATCAGGATTAATAGCTGAAGCTGCAAAGATTAGAATTAGTAGCTCTACCTATAATTAAACCGAAAATCTGGATACGTTACGTTGATGATACATTTGTAATAATTAAGAGAAGTGATTTAGAATATACTCATAAATTAATAAACAACATATTTGAAGACATCAATTTCACATGAGAAGAAGAATTAGATAACAAAATCCCATTTTTAGATGTCTTAATAAGGAGAACCAACACAGGAGATTTAGAGACACAAGTTTATAGAAAATCAACGCACACAGATCAAATACTCAACTATACTAGCAATAATCCAGTTACTCACAAACGAAACTGTGTGCAGACATTGTTTAAAAGAGTTCAGACACATTGTAGCACTCCAGAGTTGAAAAGAATGGAAGAAAAGTACCTACAAACGGTCTTCAAAAAGAATGGTTATCGACATAATTTCATCAAAAAGTGTTTAAAGTCGAATCAAAACACCAACAAGAAACCATCATCAAAGACCACAAGAAAATTCATTCTACCATACATGGGGAATATCTCTGAAATAACAGCCAGAATACTGAAACCGTTAGATACAGATATAACACACAAACCAGTAAAATCGCTTAATTCGATATTATGCAAACCAAAAGATCCAACAGAAAAAGAGGATAAAATTAATACCATCTACAAAATAAATTGTATGAACTGCAACAAACATTACATCGGCCAAAGTGGGCGTCTCCTTCGAATCAGAATCCAAGAACATAAATCAGCCGTGAAAAGACATGATATGTATTCTTTAGTATCAATGCATATAGACAATTATGGCCATCAATTTGATTGGGATAATGTCAAAATCTTAAACAGAGGAAACACGAAAAGTGCCAGAGAATTCCTAGAAGCCTGGTACTCAAGCGAAAATGCGATAAACAAACACGTTAATATAGATGAAATATACCAATTAGTAAAAAGTAAATCAGGTGACCAGAAAGTTTAAAATCCAAGTCAGTAGAAAATGGTCAATACATATGTAAAGATAGTTACCAGGAGACGCAATTACATCACGCATGAAGAAATTTAAATCATTTCACTTTGTGCTAAATATGGCGCTGAAGATGTTGTCCAGAAGGACGACGAAAGCTTCGCAACTAAACCAACCAGCTCAGAGAACACTTGTAATTGCTGAATACGAGTGGCAAGCAACCGGACCAGGTTTCGTTTTCGACCAATGGATACCCAGCTGTGGAAATTTGTCAGTTGACCATTCCATGACAGCTGTCGATAAATTAATCTTTTCAGAGTTCCATCGGTCCTCCTTGATAAGTTTACATCGAGGAAATGAATGCTGGACTCGTTCTCCATTCCGAGTGTGAATTTTATCGCCGGATGGTAACCACTGAATGCATTTAACATATTATTATTATTATTCAAATTACAATCACTATTACAAATAATAAAGATGTCATCTACGTACCTTTTATACATTTGAAAGCTTTGGATTAAAGGCCTCAGCTGACCATTTACTAGACTGAACATAAAAGTCTTCGGGGAGAGGACCCAAGGGAGAACCCGTTGCAATACCATCCGTCTGTCTGTAGATTGCTTCATTGAAAGTGAACTGTACATTCAATGTACATCTCAAAAGTAGTTCTTTCAGATCTGTATATTCATTTTGTTGTCTTCAATATATTTGCATATAAAACATATGGTTTCTGTCAGTGGAACGTTCGTAAATAGGGATTCTACATCGTAGTTTGTATACACAGTTCCTAGTTTGTCATCTATGTAGTGTGAATGTGTCTGAATTATGCTGATTTTCGTCGCTTTCTATACGATTTATAGATAAATGTGAATAAACCTTCTCTTGAGATGATTGACTGGTTTCAGCATAGAACTTTGCACAGATATGCACCAGTTCGAGCTGCAACACTCCCTCTATGTACCACACAAAGCAAGTGAAGAGAGTTAAGAGAGGTCCAAAGGAGAGATAATAAACAGAAATATGAGGCAAAAAGAATAGTGATGTGGAAGAACAATGGAGTTTTATTGGATACTATAAATCACAGAGAGTGAATGCATCTGCGCCAGTGAGAACGATTTTGCCATATCACCGATTGTCTCTAGCCATTGGTTTCTACCGTCCCGAGGACCCCAACCAGGAAGTCTACACCTTTCTACGTCGCTTAAACTAACTGTTGTGGATTTCACTGACTGATGCCATGTTTTGGTTTGACCACCACTGGCTAACTCTTATCCAACCTGATCCATCTTATGTCAGCTAACATTGCCCGTCGAGGAAGGTGATGGCTAGGCATACGTAACACATATCCTAACCATCTCAGTCGATGTAGCTTAACAGTCTCGTCGATTGATTTCCCCTCCTTACCTAGCACTCGACCGATGCCTCACCTC